TTCAATCCAGCGTTTTTTATGCGATATCTGAAATGCGAATAATAATAGGTGGATGGTAACACAGCTACTGGCTCAGGTCTAAAACGAATTCAGGATGATCCCTTAGAAGGGTGCTACCAGTGTAGACTCTAGATTGATAGTCTAACTCTTTATTTTAAAGGTCAGTGAGATCAGGGCTGACCACAGAGAGAGAGAGATCAACAAGCAGAGAAAAGCACAAGTGAGAATAGAAGAACGTTTCTGCATAGCCTAAAGCCTTGAAGCAGTGAGAAAGACACACACAGAGAGAGAGAGAGAGAGAGAGAGAGAGAGAGAGGGCTGTGGGTCCCAGCTGGCATTACACTGCACTGAGATCTTGAATTATGTTTCCAGCCCAACATCACAACACACCTCAGACTTTCATTAACTTTCTATAACCCCTCATATTGCATGTGGAAGTAGAAAGATCTCGCTTCTAAATGTTGATTTTAAGTCTTGCCACACTCTAATTATCCGTTAATCGCAGCATAAAATATTGTGCATCTGCAGACAATAGATAGACAGATGAAACGGGGTTATTATCGTTAACTAAAGCTGAAACCATAAAAACACTTGCATTACTTCAAATAAAATAAATATGAACGGCAATAAAATAAATGTAAACTTTTATTTCAGCTAGATGCTAAAGCAACATTTCTGATTTTTGCTTAGTTTAATAAGCTGAAGCACTAAACCTTAACTTAATAAAAAATTATAGACATAACTAAAATGAAAACAGACAATATAAAAATAACTAGTATAACAATGATAGTACAATAACACTGGGACTGTATTTAAAAATCATGGGTGCGTTTTCTGAATTTTGAATGGAAGAACAAGGGACTATGTGTGACTTTTTATGTATTTTTTATTATTTAAAATCAATATTTTTATTCATAAATATGTCCTCAATGGTGTACAAATACCTTTGCCAATTATCTGACTTATCCTCGTAAACAAAGAATTTATTATCTTTATATACATGGGACAGGTGAGTCCGCGGAGGCTTCCATGTAGATCCGCCATCTTGAAAAACTATAATAGCAGAGAGGGACATAAAGTACAAGGCCAACGAGTTTCCACAGTGCGCTTTCGTTCAGAGCCGGTGTGACGTGACTTAAAGGGTTAGTTCACCCAAAAATGAAAATTAAGTCATTAATTACTCACCCCCATGCTGTACCAACCCCGTAAGACCTTCGTTCATCTTCGGAACACAAATAAAGATATTTTTGATTGAATCTGAGGGCTGGATCACTCTTCCATAGACAGCCTGAGGGACTGCCTCTTGACGGCCCAGAAAGTCATTAAAAGAAAAGGTTTAAATATTCCATGTGCCTACAGCGGCTCAACTATAACTTTATCAAGCGACGAGAAAACTTTTTATTCGAAAAAAAAAACGTAAATAACGACTTTATTCGACTTTCCATTACTTCCTTATGGGCGTATGCGCGAGAACTGAGACGAGACCGTTCTTCTTCGACTACTTTTTGTTACCGGCTGCTCACCGCTTAGGAGTTTTACCGCCCCCTACCGTATAAGATGACATACTGCTTGTAAACAGAACGTTTTGCGCCTCCGGCTATATCAGTACGTCATCTTATACGGTAGGGGGCGGTAAAACTCCTAAGCGGTGAGCAGCCGGTAACAAAAAGTAGTCGAAGAAGAACGGTTTCGTCTCAGTTCTCGGGCATGCGCCCATAAGGAAGTAATGGAAAGTCGAATAAAGTCGTTATTTACGTTTTTTTTCGCACAAAAAGTAGTCTCGTCGCTTGATAAAGTTATAGTTGAGCCACTGTAGGCACATGGAATATTTAAACCTTTTCTTTTAATGACTTTCTGGGCCGTCAAGAGGCAGTCCCTCAGGCTGTCTATGGAAGACTGATCCAGCCCTCAGATTCAATCAAAAATATCTTTATTTGTGTTCCGAAGATGAACGAAGGTCTTACGGGGTTGGTACAGCATGGGGGTGAGTAATTAATGACTTAATTTTCATTTTTGGGTGAACTAACCCTTTAAAGCAGCAGAAGCGGAGGCTCACTGCCCGGCAAGTTTAAAAGGCTGCATTACAAATCCTCGTCACCCAAAACGTCCAAAAATAGATCGTAAAAGGAAACATGATCGGAGATTACAAAAAAACACCAGTTAATGTTGGATAGAGCTAATGCAGGAGAAAGATTTCAAAAGAGACGCTGACGTGCTGCTTTCTTCTCGACATGTTACAGTCTTAATTACAACATTTTTTTCATTGTTTGGTTGTGTACTTTATGATATAGACAGATGGATATTTATAGTTAAAAGTTGATGATGATAACTTATGCACGTAGGCTACTTCAGAAAATATAACGAATTAAGAAGGCTTAAAGAAGTAGTTCACTTTTAAAAAAAACTTTTGCTGATAATTTACTCACCCCCATGTCATCCAAGACGTCGAAAAGAAATTAAGGTTTTTGATGAAAACATTCCAGGATTTTTCTCCATATAATGGACTTCATTGGGAACCAAACGGTTCAAGGTTCAAATGAGAGTTTCGTGCAGCTTCAAAGGGCTTTAAATTATTCCAGACGATGAATAAGGATCTTATCTAGCGAAACTCGTTCATCAAAATGAAAGAATCTTTTTTTGAGTCATTTGGTTGATTCAACGAACAAAATGAACGAATTGACTCGGAAAAAGATTCGTTCATTTTGATGAACGAGTTTGAACAGGAGAGTTACGAACGTGCATCACAGTACAGAGCAAGGTGAGCATTTGTGCTCATAAAACTTAAATTTTGTTTTTTGTTTCTTTTAAATGACCGCTTGTTTCGCTTGATAAGACCCTTATTCATCATCTGGTGTCGTTTAAAGCCCTTTGAAGCTGAACTGAAACTGTCTTTTGGACCTTGAACCGTTTGGTTCCCAATGAAGTCCATTATATATTTTTTGTGAAATAATCCTTTAACTTCTTATTACAATAATTCATGTTTTTCACAGTCAGTAATTCATACTGTAACATTCATTTATTCGTTGTGTCAAGTTGCTGTTTGTTTGAAATAACAAACCTGTTCACGAGAAGGAACACTCGACGAAGTGCTATTAGAAGACATCCTGTCATAGCTTTTTGATACATAATGGTTACCGTAGTTGCAACGCGCATTTGAAAAAGCAAGGCACTAGAGAGCACAATTCATTTGAATGCAAAATACATTTTCACCGCCAGATGGCAGCAATTCCTACACATAGTCCCTTTAAGTTATTCAAATATTTTTCAAAGATTTGTTTTCAAATATTTTTTTTGAGTCCAGTGATTTGAGTCCAGTGAGGTTCCCATCCGTGTGTATATATATATATATATATATATATATATATATATACACATATATATATATATTATATACATTTTTTTCTTTAAAATCTTAAATACTACCTGCTTCAAAACAAAGTTTGCGATTCACGTCGTAGTTGGTCGCATCATGGCTTATATAACGCTCATAAACGCTTATAAACGCAAAGACTTTAAAAAAATCCCAATGGAAAAAATACAATCAGTATAAGCCAGTCCCTCCAGAAAAACGCGATTATGCGATCGCTGAATTCAATGCAAAATCAGCCAAAGTCCGCATATTTATGCGGGGGCCGCATTTTTTCAAATACGCCGCACTTTCGCCGCATAAATTGCCGATTTCCGTGCAAAATATGCGGGGTTTGCATAATTTCATAATCCTCGCATTTTCGTTGCAAAAAAAAGTCACATGTATCTTAGCAGAAAGTTGAAAAATGTTGCGTTTGCTTCACATAAGAGCAGCCATTTCCCCCTGTTTCCATGGGAACGTTATGAAGTGACGCAATTACGCGACGCCAGACAGACTCGCGGAGGCGATGGACATCTCACTAATCGAACTCGTATAACTGTCTGTCGAACGTTCTACCGTCACATCGTTACTTAATAAACAACATAAGATAAAAGTAGTAGCATCAAACAGAAATTACCCGCACACATGGGGTGTTTGAGGCGCACATATAACACTGCAGAGAGTTCAACAGGGAGCACGCAGCTCTTAAAGGGGCCACACCTTATTTACACTCTTACAGTCTGAAATAAAACAAGATGAGAAATTAAATATTCCCAGCACTTTCTATGATGTAGTATGCTTGTTTATCAAAGGAAGTAATAAGAAATGACTCTTATATTAACAGGATGTTGGGGGAATCACTTTTTTCTCTTTTTCATCAAACCGCAATTTTTGCAAGTTCCCTCAATTTTTGCAAATTCCAGCAATTTCATCGCATAAAATTGCATAAATATCCCACATATTTCATGGCATTTTTAAAGAAAACTGGCCGCATAATCGATCAATTTTTGCCCTCAACAATCACAAAAAAAACTCCGCGTTTTTCTGAAGGGCTGAATACTATTATGGTAAATGTTAAATATAAATCGCAAATTTTTTCACAAATTTTTGGAAATTACCACCACAAAATCAGTCATTTTGATCGCAAAAATCACAAAAAAAATCGTGAAATCCTGGAGGGACTGATAAGCAAAGCTGCTGAAGAAGTGGATGAGCAGTGTTGCACTTGATAGTTCACATCAGGAAATAAAGAGAACTCACAGATGAACAAACATACAGTAAATATAATTTCCCTTAACGACCGTGACGAGAATTTAGAGGGTGCAGAGATGTGGCGGGGGCGAGAGACACATACAGAAAGGGAGAGAGAGAGAGATTTGCTTATCCAGGCAGTGCAGAAAGCGTGTGTGTGTGTGTGTGTGTGTGCATGTGTGTGTGTGTGTGTGTTGAGCGGGGCGTTAGTAGATGGAGCATGTTTAATATAATTACACATATCCTCCTTGTGAAGTACAGCCATGTGAGACAGCACTAATGCCATAAACACAAACCTGCAGGGAGAGAGAGCGAGACAGACAGATGTTTGGACAACAGTAAATGAAGCGAACACACACTCACGACACTGCAGTCATTTAACGGCCAGAGAGACACTGACCTCATGTGAAGGAGAGATCGCGAGGCGTTCAGTCACATGACTCGCAGACATCATGAAAGAGCCTGAAATCACAGGAAAACTGTCCTAAAGTCAGTCATATTATCAACACTTCACGATACGGTTCCAGGACACTGCAAAGAATTATTTTCTCAAACAGTATTTTTGTCATTCAAGCACAAATATCTAAACATTCATAAATCAACATTTACTGGAAAAGCAAAATTGCACAAGAATTTATATAATAAATTAAGAAAAATCTTTTTTTATTATTATTTAAAACCAGAAATATCATTAAATATTAATATTAATTTATTTTCTAAAATCATTTAATGAAATTATTTTTTCTTTAGATTAAATTGATTTTTCTGAGCCCATTTGTACTCAATACTCAATACTCCTTCCAGTCTTCCTTACAATCTTTTTTCATTCCTTGCTTCCCATCTTCCTTCCTTCCTTCCTTCCTTCCTTCCTTCCTTCCTTCCTTCCTTCCTTCCTTCCTTCCTTCCTTCCTTCCCATCAGTTTTCCTTCCTTCTTTCCCATCTTTTTTCCTTACTTCCTTTCAGTCTTCCTTCCCATCTTTTTCCTTCCCTCACATCTTCCTTCCTTCCTTCCTTCCCTCACATCTTCCTTCCTTCCTTCCTTCCTTCCTTCCTCCCACCCTCCCTCCCTCCCTCCCTTCCTTCCTCCCTTCCTTCCTTCCTTCCTCCCACCCTCCCTCCCTCCCTCCCTTCCTTCCTCCCTTCCTTCCCATGTGTTTTTTTACCGAACTTCAGATAATTCGATTGACAAGTGGATGGAAACATGGCTACTGACGCATCTTCACGTGATGCGACTTCGCAGGTCAGAATTCACCAAATTTGAACTTAGGAACACAATGAAACCATGAGTTTATGCAGCAGTCATCCCTATTGGCTGCCATATTTTTATTTTACCTTCTATTTTTAATTTCTAGTTTCTAAATTTAATTTTCTATTTTTAATAAAGTACATTTTATTTTAAGAAAATTGTTTTTGATTGGCTTCCACTTTATTTTCATTACGTTCTTTAGGTTTATTTGGTGATTAAATATGTTTACTGTTCATGGGTTCTCATCTTCTTCCCTTAGACTTTAACATTGTTATGATAAAAAAAAAAACATTTGTTACAGTATTTTTTAATCTTTGATAACTCTAGTTAATAAAATGGTTCATTGTTAGTTCATGTTAACATAATATTAACAGATGCAACTTTTGATTCTGAATTTATTAGTAAATATGGGAATTAACATTAACTAATATTAATAAATGCTGAAGAAGTTTTTTTTTTCATTGTTAGGTTATGCACTAAAACATTTTCAAGTTTAATTTAATGTGTTACTTGCCGTTTCTTTGTAATTATTTGTGAAATTTCCTCGCAATCTCCAAGTTGTTTCAACGTAAATCCTACACCAATTTTTCAGAGTGTTAAATACTGTTTAAAAATGAGACCTGCTTGTGAAGTGTAACCCACTTGTTATGTGTTGAAGATATTTATGGATTTTATCTCACTTTCCATGAGAATGAGTTGTTGGACAGGAAGGGCTCATTTCCCTTAATTGTCACTGTAATAAAGAAACACAGGAAGTTGATTTTGATTCAGATTGAATTGTAGAACGGAACAAGGACAGAATGCATTGTGGGTCGGCATGTTCTAAATGGAGGACCAATCAGAGTTACGTTTCTGGCAGCGCTTGAATAAATCTGGCTCGTGAAGCTTCTCAATGGTCTGATTGGGTCCGGTGCCAAACGTGATGATGTATTCTGTTCAGATAAAGTGCGGCTGAATGTTAATCAGATATTTGCTCCAGATTGCCAGAGTGGCCCCTCGCTCTCGGGTTCACAGAAAAATGCTCATCTTTGCTTTTCTTCTGGGAACAAAGGAAACTGGATATTTTTTGAAGGATTTTCTCTGTGTTATTAAATGCATTTCTAAATCACTGCTTATGTAATGGACGACGACGTACAGTCAATCAGCTATTATCACATACTCGCACTGTATATTTAATTGCACAGCTACAAACAAAATAATTTTTTTTATAAAGAAATACTGATTTGAGTTTTTAAGCTTCCACTAAGAAAAATATACAAGCATGTCCAAGTCCAGGGTTTACTGTTAACTAAAACTATTAAACGTATTTCTGTTAAAAGATAGCTGAAATGAAATAAAAGTACAAATATTGGTTTGAAATATTTAACTAAACGAAAATTAGAAATGTTGCTTCGGCTATAAACTGAAAAAAAGTACTGAAATTATTATCTGGAAATGAAAAACTAACTAAAACTGAAAACTATACCCTAAATAGCAATATTATACAGTATATGTATATATATATTTTTTAAATACTGAAGTGACAAAACAAAAGCACATACAAAATTTAACCAAAATTAACATGAAAATAAAAGCCAACTGAAAATATTAATACAACTACCATAAAACTGCAAAACTTCATCGGCCTCCAGTACACAAGTAAAGCGATATATGAAGAGTTCAGATGCAAAAGCCTCTAAATGCCATTTGAAATTTTCTTCTAAAATGATCATTTTTATCAAGCTCGTATATTTAAGTTATGTAATTTCACTTAAATGACAATTAATAGGTAATCTTCATTGCCATTTAAGTGAAATTACTGAACTTAAATATACAAGCTTGATAAAAATGGTTATTTTAGAAGGAAATTTCAAATGGCTTTTGCATCTGAACTCTTCATATATTCTATAGAGCAAATCTCAACTGTTTGATTGTTTATACTGTTGCAAAATGTAACTGTTATCGCTCAGCTCTAATCTAATTGAGTCTAAGGCATGACGATATCAAGATAATATAAATTATTTTTTTGGTAAAGCTGCTTTGAAACCAAGATTATTGCGAATCTACACATATTTAGCTTAATTTATATAGTAACCAGATAAGATGTAACATTTATTTCTCTGTTTAAGGTTCTCTCTCATTAGGGTGTTCCTTATTGATTACTACTTGTAATTCTGAGTGATGTTTTCCTTTTCTTACTTTAACTGGAGACTCCTGAGATTCTAGACATCTAGGGTATCAAAAAAACCTTTATGTCCATTACATATTTTAAAATTCATTTTCTGTCATCATACTCGCACTCATGTCGCTCGAACCAGAATGTCCTTCTTTATTCTGTGCAACACAAAAAGATTTTAAAGACTTTTGGGGTCTAAACAACATTGATTAGAGCCCATTGACTTTCATTGTATGGACAAAATTTTTTTTTTTTTAAATGAGACATTTTTCTAAATATCTTATGTCAAACAAGATGATAATTTATATTTTGGAGTGAACTTTCTCCTATGAATATCTCTAATTCTATTTTCACTAGTGGTCAGCAACAAACAAATACATGGAAGCTTGTTTCTGCATGGAATAAAATAAATAGAAAGGTTATTGCAACTTTTTCTCTCACAATTCAGACTCTTTAAACTTGCAACTGCAACAAGTTTATATTTGACAATTCTTCTCAAATGATGATATAAACTCACAATTCTGAGAAAACTGTGAGACAGACTTGCAATACAAAAGTTAGAATTGCAACTTACAAGATAAACTCAAAATAAACTCAAAAAGTAAGAAAGAATTGTGGGATAAAAAAAAAGTTGCAATTACCATTTTACTTCCAAATATACAATCCAGCATGCATCATAATTCAAAAATGTTTGCTCAATGTTGCTTAGCTAATCAGAATCAATTATTTCAGAAAAAAAAAATATATAAAAAAACAATTATTACTGAACACACAAGTTTTTTACTAACGTTTCGGCAACAAACCTTTATAAAAACACCAAAGGCTGGGGAAAATAAACTTAAGGATGAGTGCAGTTACATTCTTCTTTACAAAGTAATTTCCCCTAACTTGTCCCTCTATAAGGCAAGTGCTTGATTTAAGGTTTCATTCATTCACGCTGCAGGAGGCTGAACTTGTCTTTAATACTTAGCTCTTGAGGTTTGCTAGTAAAACCTAAATAGCAGGTATAGAGCTTAGCATGTGTTCAGTCAATCAGCTTTATATGATAAAGAATCAGCATGTTACTCATGGTAATATAATATTAGCCATAATCCGTCCGATAGATATTCAACAAAATCATGGTCACAGACTCCCACACTGTTAAAATAATCATCGTAAGCTCTTTAATGAGCTGTAACGAGTGTAGTGTCCTCTCTGCGTGCGTCTGAGATCCCAGAATCCTTTGTAAAATGCCCCCTGCAGACGTCTACCCATCACGCACAACACACTGATACCCCTGTGTGTGCTGGCGTCTGTGTGTGTTGATGGATGCCTTGCCAATTTCCGGTGTCACGTAAACGCTTTGGTGCTCTTTTTTTCCCCTCTTGCACGCTTTTAAATATTTGGAAGCCTTTAGGGAAGATGCATTATTCATTCAAAATTACATTTCATTTGCAGTTGGGGGGAAAAAAAGAAAACCTGTAAAGCAAATCTCTTCTAAAAATCAATTAGATTCCTGCCCTCAGACGACAGGTCGGCCACACAGAGGGCCTGGCACCATAGCACACCCAGATCTACCTTTCATTTCACGTCTAACAGGAAAATAGCAGTTCTAATCAGGAAAAGAGTCAATGAGAGTTGGAAGATTAAAGCTGGTGTTGAATTAATGATGCCATGTGTCTAAAACTTCATCCCTGACACTTTCAATCACACACAAATGCAACACTTTGTAATACGCTTTCATTTGTTAACATTAGAGCTGAACTTAACCAACACATCTTACTTATATATACTCTTATATAAACTAGACTATTGAGCAAAACTTAAAGACTAATCAACATAATTCAATCAAAACACAAGACTCCTAAATAATAATAATAATCGGCAGGGAGGTGGCAGAGAAGAACACAAACACTGCAAGGACGAGAAAGAGAGAGCTAAAACCCTAATGTCATGTCCATGATAAAAGTGCATTGCATTCATCATAAAAGTGTATCAGTCCATGATAAAAGTGCATCTGTCCATCATAAAAGTGCATCTCCATCAGAAAAAAATGCATCTATTGCATCTATCCATCATAA